GGTATCCTATCTTCCTGTGCCTGTTGACAAAAAATGATGCTCCCTGTAATATATTTGGAGGGCAAGGACATTGTGATTTTATTTATTTATTTTAAAATCATTAATGATGGGTAATGTCATTAATATTTTCCTTTAGCAAGTGGGATTTACTAACTATTCCCAGAACGCCCTGAGAGGCAAACTCACAGAACATGAGATCACTTCTGTGTTCTTAAACATTTTACAGTATTTTTAAAAGCAATATTGAAGTCACAAAAAGTAAACTGTTAATGAGTAAATATTAATGCAGCACTCTTCAGAAAATAAATAATGAGCAATGAAGAAGACACATCCCTCCCTTTAAAAAAACAAAACAAAGCAACTGGTAAAATATTTCCTCATGAAAAATACAGTCCTAGGTGCCATCCAGACAGGTCCTAAAATGCATGCCCTCCCACTTCTTCAAGTTGGGCATCCAGATGATGCCTCACATAAAAGTGACTGCATTTGGCACTCTGTTTTGTGCCAAGATTATTTGTTAACGCGAAAGACACATGTCTTCTTAAAAGACCTATGGCTTTCCCATTCTGGGCAGAGTCTGGACTGCCCCTCAGAAGTTCTGGGACTTCATAGGGGGCCGTCCGCACAATGCTCTCATGTTATCCAGGCTGAATTGGGCCGGAAAATATGAAAGGACTCTAACCCCTTCCCCAAAACGCCTTAAAATGGAGCAGGGGGAAAGGAAGAGTAAAATAACTTACCCAGCCACCATGAAACTGCTGCTGGCCTTCTGCTGGTGCATAGAAATGACGTGCCAGGAGAAGAGGAGGGGAGGATGAAAAAATCACTCCTGGCCCCCCATCTCCTTGTGTGCAATTCCTATGTGACAGCAGCAGGCTGGCAGCAGTTTCATGGTGGCTGGGTAAGTTATTTTACTCCCCCCCCCCCACACACAGACACACATTTTAAGAGGTTTTGGGAGGGAGTGGGGGCATCTCCATGTCCTCCTGGAAGGTTTTGGGAGAGCATCTGAACACCTGCCCTAGAAGACATGCCCTTTCTGGGGCATGTGTGGATTAGAACCAGGGAACATTCGCATCTATAAAACAGACTAATTGACTGTCTGGAACCGTCCCTAGGCTCTGCATAGAAGGATAAGAACATGAGGGAACCGACCCAAGTTTGCCAAACATGGGGGCTGTACTGTCCTAGCTAGACGAGTAGTAGAATTTTATCTGTTACCAGAAGACTTGCTTAATCTCCACTTACTCTCATCTCTGTTAAGTGTTCATTTCCTTTATTAAATGTTCTAATGCATGTTATTCCACTCCTCCCCTCACCTCATTAACATACATTAAAGAGAGACTCCTGGAAATGTTTGTATGGTAACAGTGTGTGGATATCTTTGACTTATGGGGCAGGGATTTTTATCCCATGCAACTGTCAAGAACATTTTTGGAAAGTTTTCTTCCAAGCTGTTTGGAGTGCTACACATCGTTGAATTTTATTTCCAAACGTTTAGAACTATTGCTAGAAAAAAAGCATTTTGAGAAACCATCTAAATGAACCTTAGAACAAGAAGGTCTGCATCTGTATAGGAAAAATAAAATAAAAGGACTTTCATAGAATCACAGAATAATAGAGTTGGAAGAGACCACATGGGCCCTCTAGTCAGGGATTGGACTTTGGGGAAAAACTCATGGTTAGGTTCTTGTGGATTTTTTCGGGCTATAGGGCCATGTTCTAGAGGCATTTCTCCTGACGTTTCGCCTGCATCTATGGGAAGCATCCTCAGAGGTTCTCCAATTTCCGTGTGTCTTGGAACAGTTTCTCCCCGTAGAGATGTTCAATGTATTGTTGAAGGCTTTTATGGCTGGAATCACTAGGTTCTTGTGGGTTTTTTCGGGCTATAAGGCCATGTTCTAGAGGCATTTCTCCTAACTCATGGTTGTTTAAGATGTAATTCAGCTAAACAACTCTTGTTGTCATTAAATACATATTCCGCAAGGTGGAGCTCTAATACCTTTCATAGAAAACTGTGTCAAGTCAGGAGCTATTGCAATTTGGACAATCTTTTGGGATAGAAAGTTCTGGATAACTGTCACAGCTTTGTTTTCTGCCTGGCAAAGTGAAGAAAGATGCATAAAGAACAGTAACCATGTTAATGGGATCTTTAAATATCTGGTATGAGCTGGAAATAAAAAAGGGGAAAGTCCTGTCACAGTGTTCTTATACATATTACCATACGGATGCTACCAAAACACATGGATTTGATCGTAAGTGATGGCTCCCAGCGCAGACAATATGCTGGAAATCTGAACGTTAGCAACGATGTGACACTTTTCCTGTGAAAATTGGACCTCTTTGCTGCCATATGTACTTAGTCTGGCTTCAGTATAGACATAGACACACGTTTGTTAGAGTGATTAATCAACGGAACTGTTTAAATGTCGTAAGATGTTTCAACTTCCAGCTTTATCTGCTGCTCAGAATAAAAGTGAATTGTATCTTTTTTATTCCTTTTAAAAAATTGTTTATTGTTTTACAGTGTATATAGGAAACAAAGCAGATGAACAAAAGAAAAAAAAGTAAAAAGAAAAATATATATACAAAAGATTTACAAAAGAGTGTACATTCAGTGCTCGTTAAACATATGAACAATCGAACTTGGTTGTACAATTAATTATACTTTAACATTTCTTAACCCTCTATTCCCCCACCCGTGAACCCCACCCTATGACCACCAAAGCCCCTCAAAAAAGGATCACACAACTAACCAGCAACTACCCATATATCTTCTTTCACTTAATCCCCTTTATGGCAGTCTTCAAGTTTACCTTTGTCTTTTTTTCCAAATACCCAAGTGCTAACCTCCATTTGTTTGCAAATTCTTCATTATTTCCTCCTCTCCTGCTACTTGTCATCTTGGCCATTTGGATATAATCTACTAATTTATCTCTCCAATCTTTAATAGATAACTCCTTTTCCCCTTTTCAAGTTTTGGCTATTATTAGTCTTGCGACAACAAAGCAATATTGACAAATTTCTTCATCTCCTACACTGATACACATTATAAATAGTCCCAATAGGCACATTTCCAGGTTTTTCTTGACCTTTTCATTAATCATATTGTTTGTTTGTTTCACCACTTTTCCCTAAAATTCCTTAACTATATTACATGTCCACCATACATGGGAAAATGATCCCTTCACCTTCTTACATTTCCAGCAAGTCCCTTGTCCTGTTTTCTATATTTTAGCCAATAATTCTGGAGTTACGTAAGTTCTATAAAACATTTTAAACATATTTTCTCTAATTGAGCTGGCCACTGAAAATTTAAACCCCTTTTTCCACAAATGCTCCCATTCTTCCAAATCAATATTTCTACCTAAATCTTTGGACCACGTAATCATAAGTTTTTATCTGGTTATCTATTAAATTGTATTCTAAGATATATTTATAGAGCCTGCCTGGATATTAGACCTTTGTTGCCCTTCTCAAAGATACATTCTAACTCTGATTTTTTAGAGGCAATTCCTACCTTTGCGTCCTTCCTAAAACTGTCATGCAATTGAAAGAAGCAAAACCAATCTTTTATCCCCAATTCTTCTCTACCTTTAAGTGTCCATTGCCCTTTCTCTTTGACTAAATATTCTTTGTATGTTCCAGATTCAGTATGTGTGGCCGGTCTCTGCGCTGCTTCCAGTGGGCGCAGCCATAAGGGGATTTTTGGCTCTATCCCCTTCTTGTATCTTTTCCACATTGCTAAAAGGCTGACTCTTATTATATGTCAATTGAATTCTTTATTCACCCTGTCCTTTTCATCCCATAGATAGGCATGCCATTCATATCTTAGATTATATCCTTCTAAATTAAGCAATTCCTTATTTTCCAGTTTGATCAATCCATTAGCCAACTAAAGTTAGCTGCTTCATAATAGTATCTGAGGTCTGTCAGAGCCAAGCCCCCTCTGTCTTTCCCATCAATAAGGTTCCTGTAAGCAATTCTGGCTTTTTTGCCTTTCCAAATGAAATTGACCAAATTTCTCTTCTATTTTTTTGAAAACCTTTACTCCCTTAATAATTGTATCTAAAGTGGCAGCTAAGAATCCAGAGGAACTGAAAAAGGTAAAAGCTGAAACATTTTGCAACAACTTTTAACAACATTTAAATTAACAACAATATTTAAATATGTCTGTCAGTTAATCATAATAAATACATGTATTGTAAGTGATTAACTTCATCATCTTGTCAAAATGCTGTATCTCTCCTGGTAGTCCTGGGTGTAGCCCACAATGTACAACAGTGATTTCTAAGACTGACAGTTATTTTTCTCCTAATGTTCCAGGGACTAGAGCAGTGGTCCCTTGGTATCTGTGAGGTTTGGTCCTAGGAATTTCTATGGATACCCAAATTCAAGAATACTCAAGTCCCATCATATACAATAATATCGTAAAATGGTGCCGCTTATAAAAATGGCAAAAAATGATGACTGCTTTTTCGATATATATATATATATATATATATATATATATATATATATATGTGTGTGTGTGTGTGTGTGTGTGTGTGTGTGTGTGTGTGTGTGTGTGTGTATTCAGGCCACACAGAGAGATACAGAGGGTAAGGTTGCCAACGAAAGAGGCAGGCAAAGGTACCAAGGAAATGCAAAGGCAAAGTTAGGGGTGGCATTGTCATAAATTTGTTTCCCACTACTGGATTTACTGTGGCTTAGGGATTACTTAAATCAAAACAAAGATAACAGATAAGTAAGTTTGCTATCCAATTGTAAAAACTATCAGGCAGTCAATAGTGGAGAATGTCTCTAATAGGGGTTACAAGAGAAGCTGAATGCCACCACTGCAGATATTCGTAGCAGTTTGGCCTGTTATATAAAAGGGCACCGGTTTAAACAAAATCAGAATATTCTTTTCATTCCTTGGAAGTAACCATTAACATTATGTAAGTTTGCCAAGTTCTCTCTGATGAACTGTGTACAGACATTAATGTTGTGGTCTTCAGCTTGCAGATCGATGGGGACAGGAATGATGTTGAGTTCATGGGCCACATCATCAATAGAAGAAGTTGCTCAAGCAGCCCCAGAGGCAGTTCGATGGTTGCAGCTCTATATCTATAAGGATCGGGAGGTCACCAAATCTTTGGTGCGGCGTGCAGAGAAAACTGGATACAAAGGCATCTTTGTGACTGTGGACACACCATTTCTTGGGAAGCGCTTAGACGATGTACGCAATAAGTTTCAGCTCCCACCACATCTCAGGTATGTTATGGGTGCTACTCACTTCCAGATGGTTATTTTACCCTAAATATCACACAAGAGGTTTTTTTTATTTAAAAGTTTCTAATATGTAGTCTCAAGAAACCTTTCCAAACTACCATTATTACTCACATCCCTTAAAAGTGTGTCCCAACACTGTTGTAAATGGCACTTCTCCCTCTCCTTCTAAGTATATCTAGCCTTGCTGGAATATGGCTCTTTCTGAGTCAGTGACTGAAACAAAGAGAGAAACTCATATTTGTCCACACTACATTACTATATGTTAAACCTACAAACGCCACAAGCATTCATTTTTTGTTGGGAGCTAAGTCTGAATATTATCTGGTCAAGTGGAATTTTCTGACAACTTTTGCCCTCCAAAATCTCCAGGATGAAAAACTTTGAAACGAATGATTTGGCATTTTCATCTGAAAAAGGATATGGTGAAAACAGTGGCCTGTCTGTTTATGTTGCGGAAGCCATTGATCCCTCAATTAACTGGGAGGATATGAAGTGGCTCAGAGGACTGACTTCACTACCCATTGTTGCTAAAGGGATCATCAGAGGTTGGTTTAATTTGACTTAAATTCAGGTGATGGGGGGCATTAGATGAGACTCCTGTTATAGTGTGGAACAAGAGTAGAAAAATGTGTATGTGGGGGTGGAGGTGGGGGCTGGGCCAGTTTTGACTTTTCCCAAGATGGCATAGTCCACTCGGCAGAATTTCTAGGAACTTGAAAGGGTATTTGGCTAACTTCCTGATGGTTTGGGAACAATTCTGGCTATTTTGGGTGGGAAGCAGTAATGTAAGGATTCAAATTTGTGGTTTTAGGAATCTCTAAGTCCACAATTAGAAGTAAGCTAATTGTTAATGGTGTTGGGTTGTGCACACAGTTTCAGGTAACTGAAGTCTGGCAGGAATGTAATACTGTTCCAAGGGAATTGCCAGGTGAAGAAATCATATGGCTTGGAGATAAACAGGCCAAATGAAAAGAAAAGAAAGAATGATCAAGATTGAGTGTAATTTTTGGTAATGGTTTTAAAATTAAATTACAGTGTTTTTTAAAAATCAATTCTGTATGTTATATATCATTTTATATGTTTTAATACAAACTGTTTAGAGATTTTATTATAGTAAAATACTCTGTTATATTTAGAAAATAGATGATGCTACATAAAAAAAATCTATGTCATGGGTAATGTAGATGTGCAAGCATTCCTATCCTCCCCAGTTTGGTTTGGGACTCGATATGGTGATTCAGACTGGGATCTGATTTGGTTTGTATTGATTCAAACCAGCCCTGAATTGATTCAGACCTTTTATCTGAACTCAAATGCTGAAATCTGATTCTTCAGAGCTCCCATTGATTTTTATTTGGGAAACCACACTAGCACACACAGAGACAGAGGTTGTAAACAGAGAAAAGAAAACAAGGAGGAAAGAAAATTAAAACACAGATCCAGTGGCTACTGATGGCATCAGAATCAGGAGGAGTGTTATATCTACTGTTAATATACTTCATCCTTTCAAGGCTTTAAGGTTACAAATTGTATTCTTCAAATAGATCCACTTTCTTGGATAGCATCTTTAAAGTTTCAGGATGGCTCATATAGCCAACAGTCCCTAGTGCATAGACCCTTTAGTATTGCAGGCCGCTAAGATCATAAGTAATGGTCATGGTGTTTAAAAGTGCAGTGCGATAATAATATGGCAGGAAGTGAGTTGGCAGGTAGCCGCAAAAGGTTGGCTGAGATCTACTGCTCCAATCTAAATCTAACAAAAGAGTACAAACTTATCTGTTCTACAAGTTTTACACTGTCTTTGACACTTTCATATGATGAAAGTGATGTACAGTTTTATAGCACAAAATATACAGTTTTATAGCACAATTTTTTTTCCTGAAGATTTCTGCTCATTTGTTTCTTCGAGGTGGGTGGGTGAATCGGAGTACATCTGCTTGTATGAAGTACAAAATCAAAGCGTACTGTAACACTTTTAAAGGTTCATGCCCAGACCGCATGATAAATATGAAAGCATATCTCTTTTAATTCTTTGAAAGCACTAGAACTGATTTTAGCTTGTAACTAAATGTGACAGCAGATGTGATCAGGAAATGGGTATGTCTGAACTTGTTTAACACTCTTTACGTGCACGCCCACAGTCTCCTCTGAATTGCATATGTTATGTGGAATCACAAGGTCGCTTCCTTTCTCTGTTTGCTGTTAATTAACCAAAATCCATTTGAACATCATGAAATGATTACAGTCAATGTGGAGACAATTTCAGTAACCATTAATTTCTGTCTGCCATAAATCTCTCAGCTAGAGTGCTGGCTTTGAGGCAGGGCTGATTAGCGAGATGAATGCTTGTAGGCAAGTTAGAAGAGGGCACTTGAAGGTCTCTTCATTCAATAAATGATGGCCTTGACCTGAAAGACAAGCCTTTTGCTAATTTCAGCAGGGTTCAAGGTTGCTCCATTTAACCTAGCTGCTGCATTGAACTCCTTAAGTAACTGCTTTCTGAAAAGTTGATCATAGTTCTCTTTGTGTTGACTGAAAAGTTTTACAAATGTTAGACTCACTGTATAAACAGCCATAACCTGTAGAGCTCAATGCTTTCCCTCCCCACAGCGGATGATGCTAGAGAAGCAGTGAAGCATGGTGTTAATGGAATTCTAGTGTCAAACCACGGTGCACGTCAGTTGGATGGGGTTCCAGCTACTGTAAGTATACAAGGAACATCAAGTTAAGTTTCAGAGTTTGGCATATCATTTCAAGACAGTCATAGCTTTTAAGAAGAGTCAGCATTGTATAGTAGTTTGAATTTGACTAGAGACCTCTTCACACAGGGCTTCTTAGTTCTGTTTTGCTGCCTTTAAGCATAGCAAAGGGGGTCTTTTGACCAGGCCTACCAGGAACCATCAAATGGTGCATGGCAGGCCACACCCACTCCCCTCCCCAAAGTCGGGGGGGGGGGGAAGCATCAAAAGGCACTTCCTCCTAACTATGGGAAGGTAAGTGTGTTTTGGGTAGCTGCGATAGAGCTACCTGCATTTTGCTCCTAAAAAGCCCATGAGATAATAGAAAGGGTGGCGGAGCAACATATGTTGCCATACTTTCTGCCATCTGATGGTGGAGAGGGAAAGAGTGCCAAAGCACCTTTACCCACCATCCACGTGATGAAAGGAGGAGGGAGAGAGCGGGGCACCATGAGCCGCCCTGTGCACCTGCCCTTTGCCAGTGAAAATTGGTGAAATGGTATGGCAGGTCCTATCCCCCTTATCACACTGGGGCTTTAATACAGACAGCTCTGTTCTTCTGGTGTGAGCAGAATTCTGAGAAATGTAGTTTAGGGTGGGACCTTTTGAATACTCTGCTACAGAAGTCCTTGCCTTCCCAAACTACGTTTCCCAGAATTCTGCTCGAACCAGAAGAATGTGGCTGCCTGCATTATAGCCCCAGTGTGATAAGGCTGTCAGACTAGATTACACCAGGTTTTAAATACCACTCTGCCATGGAAAACGCATGGGTTATCTTGGGCAAATCATATCCTCAGAAGAAGGTACATTTCCTCTGGATAAAGCTTGCCAAGAAAACCCTAAAATACAGTTGCTGTATGTTGGACTTGACTTGAAGAAACATAGTAACAACATAGTAATGAAGGGATTTGTATGAGGGTTTTTTTTTTGGAGGTAGAGATCTTTTGGTTTTAACAAAATAGACATACTACCTCATCAGACTTGATGATTTTAGTGACCTAGAACATTTTCCCCCATCTGATGGATGGACACTGATGCCACAGATCACATGACGTTGTGTGACATCCAACAAAGACCCCTCCCACAATGGAGGTGAAAGCATTGCTGGAGGCTTCCACCCCAATATGGAAGGCTTCCTGTGTTGTTCTGGCTTCAGTGGATCCAGCACAGGGCTTCCTCACAAGGGCGACACTTTCCCCGTGTGATGGGAAAAGTGTCTCAGAGAGGGAGCTGCATGCAAGGTGACAGATTTGCAATGCTGCTCCCTCTCTGAGACACTTTCCAAGTTCCATTTCTAACACTTGCTCAGGCAGCTGTTTGGCACCTGCTCTGACATTGAGCACTACTGTGAATTGAGGCCACGGGTCTTCTGCCTTTTCTTTGAGTTGTAAGGCTTTTCATTTCCAATCCTCTGAAATGTCCATTTTCAGAAACATATAGAGAAGACAATTTTGCCTTTCAATTAATGTTTTTGAAAAATTTTGTATCCAGCAATTCTACAATGGGTATGTTTTCCAGTGCTGAATACCCCTCAAACACTTTGCATATGTTTGTTTCATCTTTTTCATTTTTCCACTTGCATTTTCCTGATCACTCTCTCTCTTTTTATCTCTTTATTTCTCTCTGAACCTAGAGTAAACTTTTCCCCTTTCACCCAAGTATTCGTAAATCTATTTTCTGTGCAAAAATCAATCAAATGTATTCTTTTTACAAAAGATTTATTTATTTATTTATTCCTAGTATTTCTATCCCGTCACTTCTCTACCCCCGAAGGGGGACTCAGGGCGGCTCAGAAGTCATGAAAAGTGAAAAATAACAGCTAGCCACAGTGAAGAGATTGAACATCATTTCAGTGCATGAAAACACCCTTTTATTGTTGAGGACAAGGAAATTGGCCCATAATTTTGACATTTCTATCTGCCACCTGAGACACACACCCCCTTAAAATTTAGAAGGAAGGGACCAAAGACTAATATTTCTGCATTTCGAGTACATGCTTTGTCACTGAGTGATGTTTTCCTCCAATTTCATAATAAAAATAACTAATGGTCGAAATGCTTAGTTTCTTGAAACCTGGCTATATGGTTTAGCTTATTTTGGGTTTGAGAGTAAATCAAGTCCAAACTGCTGAATGTTTCCTAGTGTCTGATGAAATGTATGCTTTAATTATGGCTTCTGTCATACTCATGTAACAGTGCTTGGCACAGTACGCCTCAATGTGAAAGTCAGTGTACATATGCGGAAGTGGAACCAAAGTATTTCTGGCAACAAAGCAAAACTTAAAGAGGAAAAACAACCCTTTTATTATGTGCCAGATGACTAGAAAACCTCAGTTAGAATATACAAGAAAATTGAATTTGCAAGTTTTGATTCCCTCTGGCCACCATTTTTTGTCTTCAAAGAAATGGCTCTTGCCCCTGCTTGTCTCTTTAGCATCACTAAAGTATCGGTTTGTACATGTGCATGATTGTTTGTTCTCGTATCAACATATGAAACCCAGGAGAAATTGTGGTCTTTTGATTAAGGATTTAGGACTCATCAGTCACAGGATTATGTCCAATTATAATCATGAACAAGTAGATGAATAGTTTGGCACCATCGGTGCAAGCATAACAAAACTGCCAGGACTTTCACTAATTTATTAAGCAATCTCTGACATTTTACAGATTATAACAAAGAAATATGTTTGGCTAAGCAATGTGAGAGCATAGTCAAAATGGCAAAAGGTATTACTGAGGAAGAACAGAGAAGCTAGCAGAGGCGGCAGCAGTTTTCTTTTGCCTGCCCTGAGTGTATTAGGAAGCAAGGTTTCTGCCTCCTCCTCTTCTCTTATCTCTACTGAGTTAATTCCATGTAAACTATTTTTGCACTTTGAGCTCAGGGCCCTTCTACACATGACTAAATCCTGGAAGAAACTGGGATATTATATCCCAGTTCATCCAGGGATTAAGTCCCCACCTCCAAGCCAAAATCTGGGCCTTCCCTGTGTGTGTATGTGTGTGTGTACTTCTGGGCTTCTTTTGAGCATGCTGACAAGATGGAGCTAGGACGAAGCCCAAACTCTTGTCTTGGCAGCATGCTAGGATGGGGAAAAAACCCATCTGATCATGTCTTTAGTTATGCAAACATAAAGAGATTCTGGTAGATTTTGTTCTTGCAACTTATTTTAGTCCTAGTTTTTGGGGAAACATTTAAAAGTTCTCTCCCCCACTCTATCATACCTGCATGTATTTATTTGTAGATTGAGATCCTACCTGAAATAATAGAAGCCGTGGAAGGAAAAATTGAGGTATTCCTTGATGGTGGCATACGAAAGGGCACAGATGTCCTCAAGGCTCTTGCCATTGGAGCTAAAGCTGTGTTCGTAGGAAGACCTATCCTCTGGGGACTTGCCTATCAGGTATTATACATTCATTTATTTATTTAGAATATTTACACCCCCCTTTTCCACCATGAAAGTTCTCAGAACAGCTTACAAATTCTTAATTTGACAGTACTCTGTCCCTAGACATGCAGTCTAGATGTGCTGGAATTAAAATGCCTACTGCATTCGTTAGTGAAAGAAAAAAATCTTCATTTTTTAGTCTGGGTGTACTTTTTAAGGCACTGCAGTAGATATGGTGTTGCATTACTAACTAATTCAATTTCCTACACTCTGTTCTCAGAAGTACTTAGCTGAAACAGAAGTCACAATTTTTGGACTGATTTGCTGTGTCCGTACCCCTCACTAGTACCTTTAGTTACTGGAGAAAAGGCAAAAGAGTTTACAACCTTTTAATGTGGCAAGGGTGACAATAGACAATGTGTTGGAAAAGACTACAAAGGCCATCCAGTCCAACCCTCTGCCCTGCAGGAACACAAAATCAAAGCACTCCCAAGCCCTCTTTGTTTTGTCTCTTGAGCAACAAGATCTCCATGTTGCCAGAAATGAAACTCAATGTGCTTCCTTACATTCAATCCGTCAATTTATGTGTGGGTATTTAGTACACACCTTAACATACTGTTCAGTGCACCAAAGGAAAAGATACCCTTATGGCACTGAACAGTGAACCTAGTGAAGATCCAACATGGCTGATCCTTCAGAGCTAAAGATGATATCAGCTAAAGTTGTCTGTTAGCTGAATTTAGGGAAAACAACAACAACCTGGGTTTACCTCAATTACATGTATTGAATTTGCATTACAAAATTATATGTCTTGGGTTAATATTGAAATCACAACATCTATGTTTATGTCATTTGTTTAAATTAGGGTGAGCAAGGTGTGAAGGAGGTTCTTCAGATGTTGAAAGAAGAATTCCACCTAGCAATGGCTCTCTCTGGTAAGATGCAGAATACAATAGAAATCTTCCTATTTTCACCCTCACTCTCCCGGTACTGTTGTGTTGCATCTTGAAAAACAACAATACTCCAAAAATTAAGAGTTTTGTTCAGTAGAATGTTATATAAACTTGCATTTGATTTGGTTTTCAGGTAGAGGTCTTTACTGATTATCTACCATTCACAGCATGATTATTTCAGCTAGAGAGGTCAAGAAAGGAAACCTTGGACCGTTTATGCATAATGCACAATACACATGGTTTTATGTCTAGAGTTCTAAATAGTCTTTCCTCTTTACATCTCCCCTTTTTCATTGTAAGACATCTCCAATGCTGCTTTAAACCATCTTAATTGGCAATAGCTGATCATTACAGCTGAAGGAATCAAATTATTAATAATAATAACACTTTATTTGTACCCCGCTACCATCTCCCCAAGGGACTCGGTGCGGCTTACATGAGGCCAAGCCCAAATACAACAATACAAGCAATAATAACAATACAAGCAATTAAAATAAAAAACATAGAAAATAAAATATGTAACAATATGCAAATTGAACTTGAATTCTCCCTAGAAGTGATGATGATCAAAATGAGACTGTCATATTTATGAGCACATTTATTTATTTATTTATTTGCAGTATTACCACTTTTCTCACCCCTAGGGGGACTCAAAGCAGTTTACACATGGCTGGAAAAAACAGTGCCTTACATTGGGCACCAACCCGATGCCAATACATAACAATAACAATAATAAAAACCACAATTAGGAATAAATCATAATTAAACAGTACATAAGCAAGCAATAGAACAATAAACAATAAAAACAGTCTTGCTAGTCGTATTGCCATTCCAGTCAATGTCCCTCTAAAACTCTACATACGTCTACTGTCCGAAAGCCTGGTCCCAAAACCATGATTTTAATTTCTTTCTAAAAGCCAGGAGGGAGGGAGCAGATCTTACCTCATTTAGGAGTGTGTTCTATAGGCCACCAGAAGAGGCAATAAGACTTGGTAAGGTAGAACAGAAAAAGAAAAGAAAGGAAAAGAGGAAGACTAAATTTCAAAAGGATGGATTCTATAGCCTACAACTGTGAATTTGTGAGATCTGAACAGGGCAATTGATGATAGGTAAAGGTCACATAAGTTGATGTTAACTTGATGGCAGTTAACAAGAAAACAATAAACTTTCTTTTAAAACAATTAAAATGGAGCCCCTGGTGGCGCAGTGGGTTAAAGTGCTGAGCTGCTGAGCTTGTTGACCGAAAGGTTGCAGGTTCGAATCCGGGGAGCGGCATGAGCTACCGCTGTCAGTCCCAGCTTCTGCCAACCTAGCAGTTCGAAAACATGCAAATGTGAGTAGATCAATATGTACTGCTCCAGCGGGAAGGTAACAGTGCTCTATGCAGTCATGCTGGCCATGTGACCTTGGAGGTGTCTATGGACAACACCAGCTCTTTGGCTTAGAAATGGAGATGAGCACCACACCCCAGAGTCGGATGCTACTGGACTTCATGTCAGGGGAAAATCTTTACCTTTACCTTTAAAACAATTACAAACACACAATAACACATTAAAAACAGCATCCTTCTCCTCCTAAGAGTTAAAGCTAAATGCCTGTTTAAATAGGAAAGGTTTTGTATATTAGTGAAAAGAGGATGAAGCCTCGTGAGAATTTGGAGCGGAGAGTGTGTATGTAAGGATTCAACAGGCAGAGGATCACTAAACAAGTAGAGAAATCCTTTGAATAAATTATTGGAGTGTCTGTTTAGCATAGATAATCCTTTCAAAATGTTTCTCTTCTTTTCCAGGCTGTCAGAGTGTGGAAGCAATAGACAGAACATTGGTTCGGAGAGACCAGTGGGCTGCCTCCAAGATGTAGATGCGTTTTCTGCGTCACCTCAACCTGTCAAATAGATTGGTTATCACTTGTCAGTTCTTACAACCCCCCCCCCCCCAAAATCAGGGTTGGGGTGTGTGCGTGCAAAGTGAAATTAAGCCTCCAAACTGGTTTTTATCTGGTTCAAAATGAAAAGCTCTTCTGCTTAAGCTATGAAACTTAAGATTCCTTTTACAAATGTACCAAATGTGTCAAGCTATCGTTTTAACATTGAGAGGAAATGGGATAAGAAGATGTTAGAAATATTTAGACAGGTGAGTCAATGTCCTTTCATCCATGTTTAGCCATCCTAAGTGATAAAATATGTTGCCCAAATAAGAAGCTGAATTGCTCCCAGTTAGGGTATTATACAAGTCGTCACTTTCCAATGCTGTAAGTGTTCGGATGGAATGAGATTTACTGAGCTGTACTTATACAAATATTAGCAATGCTGCTTTGAAGCTGTTGACTCACATGACTGGGAGCACTTGAGCTTTTTAAAAAAGTAAGCCCATGGTGGGAAAGCACATTATGTTGAAAGAACAGCTGAAATCTGAAGTCCAAGGATACCTCTTTGATATTGCCTGCAATATTTAATCATACTCTGGTTTCTGAACGTAGCAATCTGGCATCATGGATACCTTTGGCAGCGGAGTACTGGAAAAGAAAATTAAGTTTACAGAGGTTGGACAGCTGAGGCAGTGGGAAATAGAGGAGTGTAAAATGGTTTTTAAATTTGTGTACACACAGCTATACAAACTGATTAAACCAACTCATGAAGTCATCCTGGAATTTCAGATTTTGAACAGTTTCAGTTCTTCCCTACCTGTAATGATGAATGTCTCCCTCCAGAAAGGAAGAGAATTCCCATCTACCTTAGATAGCTTCACCAATACAGAATACAGAGGGATGATGGCAGTTGTGGTATAACAAGAGCTGGATGGACGCAAACCTGCCCCCGCCCCCATTACTTTGCTATGGTGAATCTCATACCCTTCAAAATCATTATCTATGTCTAGGTCATCAATGCAGAAACAGCATGTTCATTGTGTCACAAGCAGTGGGAGGAAAATGAACAGGTAGAATAATAGAATCATAGAATCATAGAATCAAAGAGTTGGAGGAGACCTCATGGGCCATCCAGTCCAACCCCCTGCCAAGAAGCAGGAATGTTGCATTCAAATTACCCCTGACAGATGGCCATCCAGCCTCTGTTTAAAAGCTTCCAAAGAAGGAGCCTCCACCACACTCCAGGGCAGAGAGTTGCTGAACGGCTCTCAGTCAGGATGTTCTTCCTCATGTTCAGATGGAATCTCCTCTCTTGTAGTTTGAAGCCATTGTTCCACGTCCTAGTCTCCAAGGAAGCAGAAAACAAGCTTGCTCCCTCCTCCCTGTGGCTTCCTCTCACATATTTATACATGGCTATCATATTTCGTAACGTTTTAACGTCTTAGACAATTTTAGCATTTTTTAAATGTTACTTTTTCTAGGTGAAAAGGGGTAAATAATCAAAAGTCAATGATTGTTTAATACAGTAACAAAAAGCTGAGCAAAAGAATCCATCCAAACTCTATAGCAGTGATAAGGAAGGCATGACTTAGTGTCCATACAGCCATATAACCCAGAAAATCCCACAATATCTGCTTTGAACTGGGTTATCTGAGTCCGCACTGCTATATATTCCAGTTCAAAGCAGAAAATGTGGGATTTTATTCAGCTGTGTAGAAATGGCCTGAGTGATTGTATGTTGTCTCCAAAGCTCTTTTGTGGCTCCCCCAGGACTCTACCAATTAGAATGAATGAATGAATGAACACACACACACACACGTACACACATACACACGTACACACTGTATATGTACACACACACTTAGGTACCTGACAATGCTTGCATTAGATATTGGTAATTTGTAACACAGTTTAAGTGAAAAAGGTCATTGTTTTGGGATTTTATGAATTGTCTCATCTATCTATCTATCTATCTATCTATCTATCTATCTATCTATCTATCTATCTATATCTGTGTGTGTGTGTGCGCGCGTGCGTGCGTGCGTGTGTGTGTGTGTGTGTGTGGTGGACTACCACTCACATCATGCCAGGTTAATCCCTCTCAAACCCCTCCAGTTCTTTCTGTGGTCATTTCTGTGTGCCAGTTGTGGTCTAGATCCATCAATGGTGGGGATCAAAGTGCTCTCTGGATGCCGGGTGAACTACAACTCCCATCTGGGTGGGTCAGTCCCTCCAAAGCTCTACAGTATTTTCTGATGGTCATGGAGGTCTGTGTGCCAGGTTTGGTCTGGGTCCATTGTCAGTGGGGCTCACAGTGATCTCTTGAAGTGGGAGTCAACAAGAAATCGGCTCCAAATACAGTTGCCCACATAAATACATTCGTTCCCCCATCCATGTTCACCACTTGGCATTAAAAATACATCAAGGGTAGATGTGATTAAGGGTCTCTTCATCAGTCTGCCGCTTAACTCTTCAATTGAGCCTAATACTGGCAAACAGTTCTTCCATTAGGTTCTTGTAGGTTTTTTCGGGCTATAGGGCCATGTTCTAGAGGCATTTCTCCTGACGTTTCGCCTGCATCTATGGCAAGCATCCTCAGAGGCAGTGAGGTCTGTTGGAAATAGGACCACATTGAAGCTGATCAGTTTGTCGTTGGTATTTAGCTTGAGATTGCTGATTTTTTCTATGAAGTGTGCTGAGTCCTTGTTGTAGTGTGTAGTGAGCCCAATATGGCTTTGTAACTGTGCAGCAAGAAATTTTGCTAGGTCGTATGTGGGGGATCCAATGGCACTCACGATGGGTCTGAGTGGGATGGAGTCCTTATGGATTTTTGGGAGTCCATAAAGCCTGGGTGGAAGGGCTTCCGATTTACATAGCTGTTGTTGTATGTCAAAGTTGATTGAGGAGTTCCTAATCAGAGTGTTGGTTTTCCTGGTTATTTTGGAAGTTGGGTCTTGCTTGAGTTTTTTGTATATAGTAGGGTCCAGGAGTTTTCTGATCTTCTCCTTGTATTGTTCTGTATGCATGATTACTGTGGCATTCCCCTTGTCTGCTGGCATAATGAGGATATCAGGATCTGAATTGAGCTCTCTAATGGCTTGTCTCTCCTTCCTTGTAATATTACTGGAGGGAAGTTTTGCCTTTTTCAGGATCCTTGCTGCTTCCGCTCGTACAACCATTACAACCAGGGACTGGCCAATGTCATTGTATCCATCATGATCACAACCTTTTTTCTTTTGGTATCAGGCAGCCTTACAGGCATGTCTTGTCACAGTTGGGGTGCTTATTTTGACCTCTCCTTTTCTTCTTGCTTGCTAATTCTCTGCCTGTACTTCTCATTTCAGTAAAAGCGCTCACCTTCCATGTTCTTATATGTGCACAACTCACTGTCTTTGTTTCTGGCCTTGCTACCAGAATCTTGAGAAAGATTTGGCCTTGGGATCTCATGCTGATGTTGTCTGCTTGAACACTAGCCATTGCAATCTTATGGTGATGCTGTGAGTTCTCAAAGAGAGAGACATTATAGCATCATGCTGATATTGTCTGCCTGAAGGAGACAGACTGGCCATTGTGACCAGATGCTAATGTTATGAACTTAAAGCATAAAAAATAGCCATTGTGACATCATATTGATGCTGCCCACCTCGGTGAAAGAGGCTGGTCATTGAGATCTAATGCTGACCCTACCCACTTGAAGGAGAGAACCTGACCATTGTGACTTTCCTGAAGGAGATAAGGTGCTTGAATTATAATCCCACAGATGCAGTTTGCCTGATGGAGAGCAATACTGCCTCCTTCTTTAAATATTTGCCATGTGCTTTAATGAGATATGTCCCTGTATGAGTAGAATAATATGCATACTATGTCCTAGAGTAGAAATGCATTTTGTAAAAATGTTTCTTTTCAACCATTTCATCTTCCCATCCTTTGTATATTCCTGCCTGGCACGTAGTTGGGCTGCTCTTGTGTAATCCCTTTGAGTCCTAACATCCTCAGATGACAGCTGATGATGGAACCAGTTGCCTAGAGAAGTGGTAGGATCTGGATGTCTTTGAAAACAAGCTGAACAGATACCTGTTCTCTCTGGAAATCGTGTACTGAGTAGGGGTTCAATGTTTCAGGAGGTCCCTTCCAACCTGATGATTCTGTGGTTCTATGACTCATCAGAATAAGTCCCACAGAGCATGGATTGATCACTGACATCTCTTTCAATACTAATTTATATCTTTCATCAGCTCCCCCCCTTTGCCTGTCAATCAGTCATCTAATGAACTAGAGCCATTGAAGAAATAGCTGGAAAAATGGTGTGCAGAGTTGGGGATAAAGGTGAAACATAAAGTCACTGTTAGGAGAGGAATATGCTTTACAAAAACAAGTTTAAGTATGCTTGCCATAGATGCAGGTGAAACGTCAGGAGAGAATGCCTCTAGACCATGGCCATATAGCCCAAAAAAAACCTACAACAACCCAGTGATTCCGGCCATGAAAGCCTTCAACAATACAAGTTTAAGTAGCGTGTAACACTGAAAAGTTTAAAAAAATCAAATTAAAAGGAAAACATTAAAACAAGAATCAAACCTATGCATGTGACTATTACTCATGCTTAATAAAAAAAAGGGGAGGAGTGTTATAAACATTATCATAGGATTGGAATTATTTTCTCTAAGTTACACATCAGTCTATTTGAGCTATGCATTTCTGAACAAAAGTCCTTATTTGCACAAGGTGTGGTCACTTTAGAAGTTGCCTATTTGTGATATGGTTAGCAGCCAATGCCATAGCTGATTTCAATGAGCGATTGGAAACACATTTTTATGGGAAGAAAGGTCCATCAATAGCCATAATGGCAAAACAGGAAGCATACTTCAGAAAGATGCAAAAAGGCAGTTCCTCTTCCTGTTGTGCCTTGTTTGTGAGCTTTCTTGCAGGATCTGGGCAGACTGTTGCTGGTTTGGGTTGCTGTGAGTTTTCCGGGCTGTATGGCCATGTTCCAAATGCATTCTTTCCTGATGTTTCACCAACATCTATGGCAGGCATCCCCAGAGGTTGTGAGGTCTGCTGGAAACTAGACAAGTGAGGTTTATATATCTGTGGAATGTCCAGGGTGGGAGAAAGAACTCTTGTCTGCTTGAGGCAAGTGTGAAAGTTTCAATTGGCCGCCTTGATTAGCATTTAATGGCCTTGTAGCTTCAAAGCCTGGCTGATTGCTGCCTGGGGGATTCTTTGTTGGGAGGTGTTAGTTTGCCCTGTTTCTTGTCTGGAATCCTCCTGTTTTTGAGTGTCTTGAATGTCAGGAGATAATGCTTCTGGAACATGGCCATATTGCCTGGAAAACTCACAGCAAACCAGTGATTCCGGCCATAAAAGCCTTCAACAACACAATTGGTTTGGTTTGGTAGTCTTCTAATAACCTTCCAAAAGGAATTTGAAGCTAGGGAAGTGATATCATGTGGAACTTTTCACTCCTCAGAGAAGTGGCGGGAACAACATGGTATAAAATCTGGGCATCACTGGAGCACATATTGTGTTTCTGCTTGAAAAAAAGGGAATTACATTGTAACCCCCTTATCCATGGATTCGATAATATTCAGTGATTTGTTTTCTCATGCTCCCAAAAAGCAGGGCCACCTTGTCCTTCATTTGGGCAGCATGCGCGGTGTGAAATACTTTTTGATATGAATCTTTGACTTGAACATCTCCTTCCTAACCAGAGGGAGTGATGGTAGTTAAATATCTTTTGCAACAGTTTAGATGAGCCTTTGGTTCTAAATGGTGATGAAACA